ATTATTACTATTACTATATACAAATGAGAATATATATAAACTGTATACAAGTTGCGAGGATATATATAAATACGGGCACATACCAATATACTCGTTGAATATTGTAGCCGTGAATGCCAAGTTCAAGCGACCGTGTCCTTTCACGATATCTTTGGGGCTTGTGAAGTCGCGACAATCTAGGTAGCCAGCGCATTCCAAAAGCTTAGCGGCACGCTTCTCAGGATCTGCAATCGACATAACCTCGTCGATACCAGCGTCTACCGCTTCCCGCCCGCATACTTGTTTCAGCAGATGAACCCATGCCTCACAATCCTTTGTATCAGAACCAAAGTTTTTGATTCGCTTCTCTGTGTCTGACTGTAGGTTTGGAATTAAAAAACTTGCAGTGTCAGTACCGCGATTCCCATTTCCTGCAAAAGTGCGAACATGCCCTTGAACACACACACAAAACAATACACTCAAAAAACTTAACTAATTATTTGTTTGCAAAGCAAAAACTTGGCGCAAATATGCTCAATAACATACCCGACCTAGATGGTAGTTGAACCAACGGAGGATTACTTCTTCCGAGCTCAGATTCATCAGCTTCAGGATGTTTTCTCCGGGTTTCAGAAGGCGAATCAATTCAGGGTGACTCGCAAGATTGACGGACTTCATTAAGTATGCACGGATTAACTGCCACACCAGGCCTAATGTCAAGTCAACACTTCCACTCAATATGTCTTCAGACCCAATGTTCACCACTTTGCAACCCAGGCTCTTTGCGCCAGCAACTACGTGATTGTTATTTTCGGCGATTTCCCATGCATCCTTAGCGCCTGGCGTCTTCAGGCGTGTGACATCTACATCGAGTTTAATATCTTTCTCTTTAATTGTTCCAGGAGCAATCTTGTTGATAAATTTGAGCAGCAGGACTCCATCATTTGTACGCTCGAATAACTGTGTACGAAGAGGTAAAATAATTGGTGTAAGAGAAGGGCAAACTTTCCGCTTTTGGTTCAGAACTTATGCCTTAAGCTGATCTGAAATGCGATTATTTCAAAATATCAAGACTTCGCGGTCTTATACTAGGAAGTGGTTTATTCTCAACCGGTATAGGCTGAAGTGTAGTGCAATTTAAGCGTCTTACAACTAGCACAGTACGGTTTATTACCTTGCACTCTATCTACTAGACTAGGACAAAGCCAGTTTATCGGTTTTTAGAATACAATCGCTGCTACCTGACATGCAGCCGTAGCACTACACTTAATGTTGAGTGCTTACGACATAGACATTTACGAATACACGTTCAGGTATTTTCGTACAGGTCGACGCTGTAGCCATATCTGGTATTAGTTATGGGGCTGGACATAAGTATCCGACAACAGAACGATGACAGGCACAGATCGGAATAAGCATGGAAACACCGTCGATCAGTATGCTTGTATGTAAATACCTTTTACCCCAACATGTTTAAATGTTCTTCCGTAAAATACGATTTCGAGAAATCGAGAAGATATCGTTCGGGTTAGGTGAGAATCATTTCATACATTGTAACATGATGTCAAAACAGAAATGCATTGGACGGTGCGTACAGTACAGACTAGTTTTGTTTGCTGCATCTTGCTATCAGTTCAATCATGTGTTCTTCACTACGGTAGATGTCTACTTCAGTGATAATATGGACTCCTTCACCCCTATTTCTACCCATACCGGATGTTACACAATGGAGGCGAATATTGCGATGGACAAATTCTCGCCGGACTAGACCCAGCTACATATTGTAGATATACCACTGACGTATCAAAGAATATAGCACAAGGATTTAAGATTGTAAAACTTACCTTCATAGGTGGGTCGATGGGTATCATCTTCTTCGCTTTGAGGTGCTCATCATGACGTAGGAAGTTGTTGATCTGATCTACAAAAGCCGTAGCTTCTGCCAAGTGGATTTCGTTTACATCCACTCGATTGAGTCCGTCGTCATTACAGTTCACCATTGCGATATATGATTGTGGCTACTGGGCTATTGACGTGCCTTATAAAGTTATAGGTGACGATTACTTGTGAACTTCCTCGTGTGGGTATTAGAGTGAGTGTGTGAATATGTGACTAATTTTGGCACTGCTTGCAAGTATGTGCACGGGCCAATATGCAAAATATCTAAAATTAAGTATGCTTTGAGCTTGAGCTTCAAAAACTTATTGACTCCTACTCTTTCTCAGCTGTAGGCTTATCGATATGTATCATCTGTTTGATGGTGATGGTGTTAAAAAAATATCATCTCACGAGTCTCTCTGTCTGTTGGGGGTGAAGCCGTGAAGGAGGATCTTCTTATCTGAACCATCTATACTTCAACCGGTTCGTCGCGAAAGAAATTTCATTTATCACAAACAGACTACAGTCCGACTTCAGTTTTTTTGTTGTGGTTTTTTTAAAACACAAAAACAATAGTTCGTCGAGAGAACACGAAAATGAAAACGTACTAAATATCAGTGTGATCTATTATAATATTTATATATATATTTACATAAATATACGCATTGGAAAGTTTTACGCTTTCCTGACAATTCTCCGACAATTGTGTAAAAATTAGAAAATTTGTAACAAAGTATAGATAATACGCCGTACGGTGTATATATTTTTTTTAAATATATATTTAGTTATTTACCTGTGCGAGAAAAAAAAATTTCATCATGTAATTTTTATACTGTATGGACGTGGGTAAAAAAAAATGACTGTCAATTATAAGAGCTTAGAATAAGTGCTAAAAAATTGTTAGACTGTCAATTATAAGAGCTTAGAATAAGTGCTATATAGAAATATTTCTGTCATGACTAATTCATGAACAGGGGAAAAAACCTTATTAAGGAAACCCCCATTTACATTTTATGTTGTAGTTTAAGTTGTCCGATACAAGCTTCGTATGGTTTTACTACGCTTATATTGGACCTTCATTGGTGACCCGGTAGTAATAAATAGTAGCGGATGGTATCACCAGGTCTTACATTGAGGACAACGTAGAGCAAGGATACACATGTCACTCAATGACACGAGGGCCAGGGACTCCGAGACTCTTGATTAAAAGACTACGGGGTCGGTACTCGGTCTTGGCACCGATCCTTTGTGGACAAAGTACCGTAGACGGAGATGTAGGGCCGGACCAGAGGACAGGGCCGATATGAGGAATCTAGGACCGGACCAGAGGACCGGACCTAAGAGAATTTATTTAGGACCGAGCCATAGGATCGGGCCTGAGAGGATTTAATTGTGATCCGAGGATCGGGCTAGATAGTAGTTCACTTTTTCCAGACTTAACGTTATTTATTAAGTGTTACTTGGCTTTAACCACATTTTTAAGTGACCGAACTACTGTCTTTATTATAATACGTTCTTTAAAGGTTAAATCAACTAAAAGGCAACTTAGTTTATTTTTATTTTTATTTTTTACAACGATGACGAGACCCGAGACTAGACCGTTGCCTACGGTGGCTAAAAGCAAGCGTGTGACCAGCTGCTAAAACGGTTGCTTGGAACGATTCGCCATTTCACCTAGCTATGCGATAAGGTGGATACAGCACGTGCCAAGTAATCTGCACCCGAAGACGACGAGAAGGTGGGAATCCAATCGGAATTGACTCATTTGCTTTTGGAGGCTCAGTACTCAATTCGAAGCTTGGGTAGGCTTAGCCAAGCCCCAGCATGGATTGCGGATCAACTAGGACACTTGAATACAATCATGCATGTGAGGGATGCAAAGGAAAAGAGTCGCCTCATTCAAGAGCAACTCTGTCAATTGTCCCTGACAGATATCGACACGTCTATGCCCCAGGACACGGCCCAGGCGACAGTTGATGATGATTTTTCTGAGACTGGAGCCGAACCAACAGTGCAACAGCATTGGGCACCTCAATACCCAACACAGACAGACTCGCCACCAACCGACCAGTCACCTGAAAGTGTAAAAATATGGCCTCCGGTCAG